ACATGACGAACCAGCAGCAGACAGAGGGATGCGAGCTCGAGGACATTTACGAGCCGGTCCAGCCGCTCGTTGATCCCCGCGATCCCCCTGATGCGATCGCAGGACCGCCTCCGTGAGGACCCTTCCACTGCCTCCGGGTGGTCCAGCGGAAGCGCCGCGGCTGGTGGACGCTCCATCGCTTGTCGGCACGCTGGTGCTGGGGCCGGGGGCCGGGGTGGCCCGAATGCCGCTGGTCCTGGCCGACGACTCCGAGCCGGCGGACGGGCTGCTGCGGGCCGGGGTTCCGCAAGCCGGCGACACGGCCGACACATTGATTTCTGTGACACAGTAAAGATATTTATTCATTTCAATTCCTGCTTCTGTGTATCTGTTGCGTTTACATCTATGGCAAAGCATGTGGACATTTGTGTGACACGCCACTTACCCTCCGGCAGGCTGTCTGAGTCCCCCCCCCCCCCCACAGAGGCGCCCCCATAATCGCCACCACCCGCTCCTCAAACGGCGTGAGGGTCTCCTCCCCCGGGCCCCCACCTGTCTGGCCGGTACTCCTCTGGAGGGCAGCTATACGCCGCTTGACCTCCACCTTGAGGTCCGACCACTTTTTTTTAATCTCCGCAGGGGTGCGTGTCTCAGAACCCACCGCGTTCACCCTCTCGCAAACTTTCTCCCACTCCAAGCGTTTTCGTTTTGCACTGACGCCACTGGACAGGCTGCCAAACAAAACAGGCTGTCGCTCCTCCACCTCCGCCACCAGCACCTCCACCTCGCACGCCGTAAATTTCATTTTTCTTGTAAGTTTGTCTGCGTGCGAGGACAGGGAGACCCTATTTAAATAAATCTGCATATTTATAGGTGGGCGTAACGGGGGCGGGCCCGGTCACTTCGACATCAGCGCTCAATTCCACGCTGATTGGGATTTATCAAGGAAACACTCGTGGCTTTCGGCGCCCGCACACATTGATACGTGGGTCAATGACGTATAAGGTTTTTCAACATGCCAATTTTAAAATACCAAAAATAAGAATATCTTTTGCAACAGTTCAAACACTAAGGATGTTATGTATACAAAAACTAAAGTTTAATTTTTAAATTAGGCAATTTTAGTGTTTTTTCATATAAATGAATTGCCTGTGGCCTTAAAAAATGTCATGTGGTGCGACCATCATTTATCTCAAAATTATTACATTTTTTCAACGTACTCTATAGTTTTTTACAAATATTCAGTAATATCAAATACATAGGAACAAAGCGTTTGCATTTTATTTGAGTTTTTGTAAATAATGATCTCATATATTCGCTCTATAATGTCACAGTCGCTATATCAAATGTAGTTCACTGACTATTTTTTTCTTTAAATGCAAAATACTGATAAAAATGTTTTGAAACTACCTTTCATGTAAGCATATTGTATCAGGTATTAATGTCTCAGTTACAGAAATTAGATATTTTAGTTTGTATTTGATATAATTAATGTTATTATTGGTCGCACCACCTGATTGGTGGTCGCACCAAATGACTTGAAGACCTTGTATCATTAAAAATCAATTTAAAGAGACCTATGAACAATTAATTTCATGCAAATTTTATATTAAAACCAAATTTTATTAAAATTTCAAACATGAACGCGAACATTTTATTTCTCTTTTTTACAAAAATTTAACTCTGTGTGTGTTTGTGTATGTGGTCCAGAGGCCTGTACTACGAAGCTGGATTAACACACCCAGGATAACTCTGCCACAACTCGCTACACTTCACCAGATCTCTGCAACCCCGATCAGCTGTACTACGAGGCAGGATATCAACTAGCTAACTAAATTCAGTTGTGGTCAGTCTAGATCTGTGCGCGCACACGTAAAGGGGGCGGGGTCAGTGCCACCGGACCAATCTCCACAATGAAGAAGGCTGCACGTCATATTTCACAGCCGGGGAACAGAGCATCGTTTTACGCTAATACAAGGAGTACTGCAACATTATATCAGTGAGGAGCAGGACAGCTACAGCCGCTAAAAGCCGGAGGGACTGCTGGCAAAAAAAATCATTGATCGTGTAAATTTCATTTGTGCATTGGTAAATTTATGGCCCCCTAATATGTTGTCATGCAGCGTGTGTGATCACCTCCATCATTGACCTCATTATTTCAGATACAACAGCAGTGGGGAAAAGAGTAGGTGGGAGCAAATAAAAATAAATCTAAAAACATCCGTCAAAGTGGTTAGCTGGTTTACTGGAAGATTTTATTTATACATATTTCAACACGTAAACAGTGATTTACTCACACTGCCTTTTTTCTTTTTTTCTCCATCATCTGATTCTTTTTCAGCGTGACGGACCTTGCGTGCGCTCGTTTCCGGTATGAGTCCCACGCAAGTGTTGATACATGAGGCCCCTGTTCTTTTTCTCACCTATCTGTCTATGTTTGTAAAGAAAATGGAGAATACAAAACGTGCACAACTAAATGCATCACTGTAATTGTAATTTTAATGTCTTTGTTAAGAATTGCTTGAAGTGCCCCTCACAACAGACTTTCCAATCAACATATCAGTTAATCAGCATGTCTAGACATCAACAGACAACATCCTGCAGGATGCTTCAGGTGTCACCACCGCCCCAGGGGGGTGAAGTAACAGTCCCCACAGACAACAAAAGGTGCCAACACCTAAGCCCCATTCCTTGCCCTCTGGGAGGCGGTCCTAAAAGTATAAATATTCTGTATTCCCCTAGATTCGGGGTCTTTTCTGATCTACCCGCTCGGATCCAGATCAACCTTTTCTTTGCAAAGAAAATAAAACCTTGTCGGCCGGCAGAAGTCTCTATTTCATTATTCACCAGCAGCAACAGAAGGAGAAAAACTTCCACGACAATCACACTTTTTTTTAAGTATTTAAGCTGCCCCCAAACCAATCATCAATTCCCAAAGAAATGTATAACTAATATATCTGTTAGAAATGCCTATGACATCTATGACAGGTGAGAGCTCAGTCATACTCATCAGTATATACCTTGTGCAGTGTGCATTTAACACCAGTCCTGACACTCTCTTTTTTTTTGTAGAGACTGGTCTACGCACCTCCATTTTATTAGTGGCCTCTGGTGCAATACCCTGTAATAAAAATAAGATGAATAATGATTTGATACAACAATACAAACTATTGAACTTGTTGAACATCGAACAAAACAATGTCTGGCTTGTGTCCATGGCTGGTGCATGCCAGGGGTAAAAGCACCAACTTCACTCCTAAGGTGCTATGTAGGTAAATCCCCCAAAATTAGAATATTGTGGAATTGTAATGATTTTCTCTCCATAATATATAATTTTTTAATCAGCATTTACATACACTAGCTAGACATAACAAACAAAAAACAAATAAAAAAAAAAAACATATCCATTTTCTTAAAACATTTTGTGGCTTACCTGTAGTGTGCCATTTGAAACAGAAGCACCACTATGTGGTTACATAACGCTGCCCTTTAGTTCCACTGGAACCTTTTCATAATGAAATGTCACCTGTTAACAGGGAAATAACAATGAGTGTTGATGATAAGCACAGGCTGCTAAGCCAAGGACTGGGCAGAACATACCGAATACATGTATTTTGATCGAACAGAATCTCTCAGTTTCCATTTGTCTACCCAAAATAACACCTTTAGTAGTTTTTAACTACACAAATAATTGACAGACTGAGAAACATACTGAAGAACATCTTGCAACTTTGTAGGAACTCCTGCAACTGCGGGAAAACGGTCTGCAACAGCAGCAGAATAACAGCTATTCATTTTGAGAAACCTGAAGTAAGTAAGCGTCCTCATTTTTATTTTTCTATAATATATAGAAATGTCTCAGTCTCCAAAAAACTCTTTTCTTGTTTGTTCTTTCTGTCCTTAATGAAGCCAGGAATCGTTCTGGGAGATTTCGGATAAATCTGTGATCTGATGCACACAGACAGACAGCAGCAGCATCACTTGCATACATTCCCAGCCAAATTTAAGATAATTTCCGAATGGTAAAGAATAAACAATTAATAAATAGTAGACAGATAGTAGACAGAAAACAGTGTTAATGTTTACACTACCTTTCATATTTAGGGATTGGATTTTGGAAAGAGAGGGAGAAAGAGAGAGAGACAGACATTGCACCTTTTCTCCAAAAGGCCTCTTCAGGTCTTAGCTGGAGAACCCTTTTAGAGACAAGATGAAACAGTAAGTTCTAACCAGTCCACTTGACTTTGGATCAAGATTTTAAAAAAATGTAGACTGCATGGCTGACAGTATTTACAGACATTGGGGGTGGGTTGTTGAAGGTGCAGGATAAAGGTTTTGACAGAGGAGGTTAAAGCTCAGTGGAGGGATCTGAGTTAGGGGTTCCTTAAAGACTCTTCTTGGTCTTCTTGATCTGCTCTATCTGTTTTTCAAGTTGAACCAGCTTGTCCATCAAAACATCCTCAGACTGAGTTGTTTTTGTCTCTTTCTCCTCTAAGGACTCCTTCATTACATCAATGGACTGCAGGAGATTGGTCTTTTCTTGCTGCCACTGTCTCTTTGCTTTATCAAGTTCTTCCCGCACTTAGGGGAACTTTTCTTTCAGTCTTGCAGCTTCCTGGTTATGATGTTCCAGCAGGTGAGCTTGCTCTTCCTCCCAATGTCTTTTCTGGTTCTCCAGGTCCATTTTGGACCATCTTCAGTGTGGAGGTTTCTTTTCTTCCTCCTCGGAGGCTGGTCTCTGCCTCCATCCTCCTCAATTCTTCTGCTCCTAAAGCTCCATCCAGCTCTGTTACTCTGGACACAACCTATCTTTCTGCTGCACCTTTCTTTGAAAGATAAACCAGAAGGAGTCCCACCGTCTGGTTGATCTCAGCTGTTTGTGATTTGAGCAGGTGTTTCAGCTGCTCAACCTCATTGATCAGGGCCGCTTTCTCCTCCTCCAGCTTGTCTGGCCTTTCTTTGTGGCCCATGAGTCTTTGCAGTTCTAGCTCAGGAATCTGGACAAGACCCTGTTTGATGTCCTAAGGGTTTTCCAGCTGGCTGGTTATCTGCTGCACTTGGAGAGGAAGTTGAATTTTCTCCACCAGCTCTGATTGAGGTATTTCTGCTGCTGGTTGTGGCTCTTCTGGGGCTGTAGTAAGTTGTGTCTCTTCTGGGGCCGATGGTTCTTGAGGCTCCTTAGATGTTTCCTGCTCAATGGTGGTTTTCTCCTCCGGTCTTCGGAGCACAGGAAAGTCCTCTTCTTCTCTTGGGTGTTTTTGATCTTCCAAGGGTTTACGGCAGGGTTTCCCAACCTTTTGTGAGCCGTGACCCCATTTTGACATCACAAATTTCTGGGGACCCCAGAGACACTTTTTCCTAGAATTTGTTTTTGATCATGTTTTTATACTGTCTTGAAAATATAGAGTATTCAGGATTAGTGCACAAAATGACATTTTTTTTCCCTGATCATGAAATAGGCTTTATTAACAGGGCTGAAAATGTATACTGAGAAAACAATCTCATATAAAGAATTATCAGCATCTTAAACTGGCCACAGTAAAGATTTAAAAGAATGAAAGCATCACAGTGCTTCTGTTTCAGTTTGTTGTGTCTTTTATGTATTATATTGTGTCTCTCAACTCACCACATTTAATGGGATATCTGAGCCTGCACACCTCGCTGCAGCCTTTCAAAGTCAGGTGCTGTAGAAGACAGAGCATATCTCATCTCTGACATAACATCCAGTCAGGAATGGTACTTTGACTTCATACAAACAAGGGCACTAAATCCAGCTTCACATAAGTATGTGCTTCCAAAAGGAACCAAGAGTTTCAGAGCACACAGTGAGATCTCAGGGTACTCATCTCTTGCTCCGAACTAGAATTCCTCCACTGCCATGCGCAAATGTAATCCCTGATGAATTTTGTAATATGAAAGTTCAATCAGCTGTTCAACAGCGGTGGCAGCAAGGTCCACTGCGCATGCATCACAGTGAAATGGGTCTCTCACCCAGTCAAACTTTGACATATCCATGTCTGGGAAATAAGAAGCGAAGTGCTCTTCTAAGCATTTCAGGTGGCTGCACATCTCCTCTGTGGAGCACTTATCGATGCTGTTGTCTTTTAAAAACTGACTCATCTGGGGGAAGGGGGTGAAGTTTGCCTTTGAAATGCTTTCTCTCCAGTATTTGAGTTTCCCCCTGAATCCACCAATACGATCACTCATCTGCATGACATTCTGTTTTATCCCCTTTATGCTTGTGTTTAGTTTGTTAAGTTTTCCAAAGATGTCCGTTACATATGCAAGGAGGCACATTTTCTGCTGGTCACACAGAAAGTTGACTAAATATATATATTATATATATATATATATATATATATATATATATATATATATATATATATAGTGTCAGTTTCTGTAATTGCAGTTTTTTTTTTTTTTTTTCATTTTTAGCTGTTTATAAGCCATGTCAAGTTCCATGCTTCATTTGTATATTGCCCTACCAAAAAGGACAGAGCAGACTCTATCTGCTCAGGAGGATGAGGTCTTTTGGGGTGCCAGGGGCACTCCTGAAGACCTTCTATGACTCTGTGGTGGCCTCTGCCATTTTCTATAGAGTGGTCTGCTGGGGGAGCAGCATCGCAAAAGCTGTCAGGAAGAGGGTGGAGAAACTTATAAAGAAGGCCAGCTCTGTTCTGGGATGCACTCTGGAACCTGTGGAGGAGGTCGGGCAGATTAAATAATGACTACAAGTCAACAATTTTAAATGGACTTTTAAAACCTCCGATGAATGTAATGTTACGGAGTAAAAATGAACGCCGCCCTCCTGTAAACTTACATCTGCGAATAACGATGTTCATGGACTGACTCTTACAAGCAACTTGCAGAAGACTAGTCCGGGGGGCATGGAATGAGTGACAGCAGGGATAGCCAATCACACACAAAAAGTGGGACCATTGGCCCTTTGGTCCAACAAGGTGTGTGAAGTGGGTGATCCATGTTCTTTAGAATAGTCTCCACCTTCCTCAGTGTAGATCTCTTCACCACATCCTCCACTGAGTCCAGCTTGAATCCAATCACAGAGCCAGCTTTTTTCACCAGTTTGTTCAGACATCTTGCATCTTTGTGTTTGATGCTTCCTCCCTGACTGCAACATAGAACAGCACACTTGCCACCACAGACTGATAAAACATCTGCAGCATCTTACTACAGATGTCTACTGATCGGAGTCAGGGGCAATTTTAGCATCTGGTCTTTAGGGGTGCTCAACCCCTACCCCAGTGTTGACAGAGGCACATTATTTTTCACTATATGAGGCCTACAAGTACATTTGTTAATGTTGGAGCTGTATTAGTTTTGCTTTGAGTGTGAATTCCATCCAATTTGCATATTACATCAGCCATGCCCATAGAAAACCAGTTACATTTTCTTACATACAAACAATAGAACAAATAATAGAAAATAAATTAAATGGTCAATAAAATACTTCACCTTAATGCACCCCAATGCAATCTTTGAGCACAAACCACACCGTTTTTAATCACCTGATAACATCTAGAATGTCTTTCATTTAAAAAAAAAAAAAAAAAAAAATCTACATATTATTTTGAACAATGCAGGTCTCTTTCTGTGTGGATTAATGAATGGGCCTAAAGTGAACAGGCACAAGGGGTCACAGGTCTTAAGTGGCCAGGACAAACTGAAAGACTTAGACACATGAGGGCAGTAGTTAGCACAGGTAAATAGCTTACTCATACAAAACCCCAAATCAAATAATTTCTCTTGTAGGTACAGCATTGTACTTCCTTATTAATAATGACCAAAACACATTTTATCCCACAATACTATCTTTAATGGTATGCCACATATTCAGCATTTTAGAGGGGAATCTCCTTTATCTAATCTCTCCTTAATCTAAATGTCAAGCTTCTCCTTGAGTTGATGACTGCATTTTTATATTCCACAGCCTGGTCAAGGTCTATGGTCTCCTTCTGCAGAAACAAGTGCAAACCTGCACACACTGACAGGAGAGTGTGGAACATAACCAGCAAGTACACAGAGAAGAATTTACAGAGTTTCACTCTCAGTCCCACGGCCAAAGGTGTATTCATACCAAGGAGGCATTCAATGATGGCAGGGAAGTTGTCAAGAACTGCATTCACTGAATGGAGCTGGCATAGCCAAAGTGTACTTGACAACTGGATAAGTTCACTTTGCTGTACCCCTAGCCTTTTTTGTGTCTCTACAAAATTGTGGTGGTTCACTAGTGATACACTAAAAAACGAGTGGAGTCTTTCCAACATCTCAAAAAACCCTCTGGTATCAGAAATTGCTCTGCGTGTGTGGCATAAGACAAGATTTAATTTGTGGGCATAGCAGTGTGCATATATGGCTTCAGGGTATTTCTTTCTGAAATGGGCCTGGACTAGGGTTGCCAACTCCAAGAGATTGAAATAAGGAACAGTTAACATTATCAATGTATCATTGAAAAATTTATTTTGTGCGTAATAATAATAATAATAATAATAATTATTATTATTATTATTATTATTATTATTATTATTATAATAACTCTTTATGTAGCTCTAGTAATGAACTGGAAATAAAGTGCCATCTGTGTTCTCATTAAAGCAGGCAAAATAAAATAAATCAAAGGCATATAATGTACCTCCTGGTAAGTTGCACCCCTTTTTTTACAAACCCCAAAATTGACTTTGGAACCAGAGAACATGTCACATACCTGAATTGTTTGTTTAGGTCTCTTGCAGCAACAAGGACTTGTATCCACCAAAGTTGTATAAAATTGAAAAGCTGCAGAGATTTCCAGGCTCTAGATGGAGGGTTCGTGGCTCTAGAAATGAACTGAAAATAAAGTGCCATCTGTGTTCACATTAAAACAGGCAAAAAATAAAAAAATAAAATAAGGCACCTAATTTACTTCCCTGGCAAGTTGCAAACCCTAAAACTGCTTAGGGAACCAGAGAAGATCACGCAAACCTATTTCTTCCAATTGTATATATTTTTTTTTGATCTCTTGCAGCAGGAAGAAGATCTCTATCCCCCAGAGCTGCAGTGTAGAACTCTGAGCAAGACCTCTGACAATCAGCTCACTCTTTATTAGATCAACAGAGCTTCTGTTCCGCACGTCTGACCATTTGTTTTTCATCAAAGAGAAGACCCTCTCCACGTACCCAGTAGAAGATAGGATGCTGAGGACAAAGGACAATACAACCAGGAGGTTTGGAAGTTCAGCTGCCTGGCCCCTGATCACTTCCATCCACTTCTCAGCTGTTCCCTTCGATTTCCAATCCAGACGCCTTTTGAGATGATCAAGGATGCTGTTTGCAGTAACACACTCATCATAGAGCTTATCCATAGAGAGATTAAGCCTGCCAATAAAGATGAAATGACTTTCAGTTCACAGCTAAACAGCATGGAGCACTGTGCATTTGTTTCTATATGTACTATAGCATCTACTGTGGAATCACAAATATTTATGTGATCACATTCATCACACAGTATGGCATTGTGTATGATGATAATTATTTTTCATTCCTTTTTCAATGTTCAAATTGGGAACAAGTGAGTGGGTTACATACCTGCCAGCTAGGTGTAACTTCTCAGTGATCTTCTCCATTTCCTCGTAGGAGATCTTCCCAGATGTCAGACCAAGTGGCTGCAGGTGAAAAAGCCCGTTTTCCTGGGAAAAGTTGAACCACTTCTCCACATGATAGATCGCAGTATTTAAGAAGGTTGTAAACTCCCCCGTGGCAAGACGAGCGTCATCTGGAGAGAGAAGCTGTCGCTTTTTTCTTGTGAGGTAGCCGTAGTACTTGTCCTCCCTTCTCTGGGTGAGCCGTTGCAGAAAAGAGTCCATGATTGCATACAGGTCAACTGATACAGTGTTATCTCTTTCAAGCTTTTTCACAACCTCCTCAAAAAGGGAAAGAACATTGCTGAGGAGGAGGAGACCGCAGCCGCATGCTCTGGGTCTGGCAACCTGAGCAATTCGCGCAGGCGTTTTGGACAGTCCTTAATGCTCATGAAGTAGGACTTCAGAGCAGGCCAATTCTCCAACAGGCAGCTGATTGCAGGATTGAGTGACAGCCATCTGGTCACCACATGGCGCAGAATGTCATGGAACTCGATGTCACAAAATTCACAGAAGTCCTTCAGGTTCTCTCTCCTTTTGGCAGAGATGGAGAAGTGGCCATACACCTTGAGGACAATATTCTCCACATCAACAGACAGTTCCTCCAAGGCATGTTTCACGGTGTTATGGACAATATATGCATGGCAGTTGCCACAGAGGATCTGGCTGTTGGACTGTTTTCATTTTGAAAAGACCGAATTGTGGATGCCATAGTTTACATTGGCATTGTCTGCACTGAATGCAGACACATTATCCAATGTTAGACCCATCTGGTCCAAAGAGCTTTGGATGGAATTAACTTTTCCTTCAGCCGATTCATCAGGATTTTCAACAAAATCAATAGCCTTTTGATGATGCCCTCCTCAGGAGTGAAAAACTGAATGGCCAAGGGAAAAATCTTACGATTGCCCTTATTAGAGGCATCGGTTTGGAGAGAGAGTGGGAGTGACATCACATCACCCTTCAATTGGGTGAGTACTCCTTCTATGGACTTTCGGAGCCAGGGCACCAGTGACTATTGCCTCAGCCTTTGTCCTCCCACAAGACATTTTTTTGCTAAGGTCGAGTCAGGGAGTGTCTGAATTGTCAACTTGAGTCCACAGTCGTCTGAATTGTAGCTCAGATTGTGCTTGACCGCATGATAGACTTGTGCGACCTCAGCAGCTGTCACCTGCAATAGAAAAATAAAACATCAATATCAATATAATTGTACAATTTATATCATACTATATGACCTGGCTGTATTATGCAGGTTCTCAACCTTTTTAGACCACATCCCCTCAAATAAACATTTGGTAATAAACGTGGTATCAACAGATAGTTAAAAATAGCAGATCTTCAAGCTACATTTTTTTGCCTCTTTTTTAGATTGACAATTTGGTTAATGTTTTATCATTAAATTTAGGTATTAATGTCATTAAATTGTCAAATCTTGTGCGGACTCCACTGAAAACCACTGTTATATGTGTCTTTGGGGTGTTTTAGGTGTGTAAAAGTTGTAAATAGTATACATTGCGTTTTATTTATACCCGCATTATACAATGACTCAGTTGATCTTACTAAACAACACTGTGTCAGTGTGGCTACTTAATTACATTGAACATTTAGCAGCATATTTGACAACACAAAATCAAAGTGTGAATAAAACTTTGACTGTATACAAATGGAACAAAATGCACTCGTTATGTCATTCCGATGCTGAGTCAGAATTTAGACTTTTATGAGTGTGTAAAGGAACACAGAGAGTCCAGAAATCCACTTTGAAAAATACTGTTCGAGGCTACTATCATAAACAAAGACAAACATGCTTATTTAGCATACCTTGTTGGTCTCTGGCGTTGCTTGGGGGACAAGGAATTGGGTCAGAGCTCCCTGACTTCTCTTCTGCTTCACAAGCCGTTTGTGATTCTCACCGGCAGCATGCTGTCTGATGTCCGAGAATCCACCGTGACTCACGATGAACTGACGTCGGCACACTGTACAATTTGCTTTAAAAGGGTCGCCTTGCACGCTCTCCAGCCACTTGAAATCAGCTTCCCATTTCAGCTCGGTACTTGCATCTTCTCGTTTTCTTTTGAGGTGGAGGGACGGCCACCTCCACATCATCATCTCGCTCTCGCTCTGTCTCTGACTCAGAGGTATCCACTTTGTGGTTCGTTCCTTCTTCACCCACGCCGGCGAAACACGCTTACAGGCAGCTGAGCCAATCACCATGAAGTATCCATAGCAACGTAGGCTCAGGCAGCACTGGGGCAGCTCGTTGGTCGGTAATCATGAGGGGACCAATGAGAAGCAGTCACAGTTGCTATGCATAACATGCTCTTGTTGTTAACAACCCATATCTGGTAGTCTGCTGTGTTTTGTTACTCGGCAGAGAGACGCTGTCAGAAAATACGGGAAAAGGAGCGTCCCATTTTGGTTCATTACGGGACATGTCTTTTTGTTTCCAAATACCGTACGATCCTGTTTTTTACGGTACGGTTGTGATGAGCCCCACTCATCACTGATGCCCCGTCATAAGTTTGGGCCACACATTTTATATCATCAATGCCATTTTGAGTGTTGCTCAGTGGTGTTGGCAATTGATTCAGCAGCAAAACTCATCAACTCTGTAAGGGCTAGGAATCTTTCTTTAGCCATACCCCCTGTAACTTACCTAACACAGAGTCATAGTTGTTCAGTTTTTCCATCTCTGGCTTCATCAGCCATAATGGCTTACATCTTTGCCTCCTTCATCTCCCTTACAATGGCTGCAGTTACCTCCTCTGAACAACACTGTACCATTTCCTTTTGACTGCTACTTGAAAAATATGTAGTATTTAATGGAGGAGTGTAATTTTGCATGAAAGGGTCAAACTTTCGCACAAGTTCTATGCATTCCGCAAACATCCCTTTGTTGTGGCTTTCAGAAGATTCATTGTGACCTCTGAATGGAATCCCTTGTTTACCTAGCATGGAGGTTACTGGCACAATGCGTTTTAAGTAATCCCTTCTCTCTTTAATGTCAGAGGAACTAGCACACTCAATTTGCTCCATCACACTACCCTTCAAATGACTTGCTTTGTAGCTCTGCCAACATACAACACTGTCTTTATGGGGCTGTGAGGTTTCATGTTTGTTGAACAAGTTCAGTGCCTTCCTCCAGTTTTTCACACCATCAGTAACAAATACATCCTGTTTTAAATTCCTGCCAAACACCCTACATCCATAGCAGAATGCAGCATCACTTTTACAGGAGTACTCAAGCCAATTAAAGCTCTGAAACCAGGTATACTGGAAGGCTCTCTTTTGTGTGCCAAACATACTTTGTGGGTACTGGGGCAGTTTTAATTGTTTAGGACCAGTGTCTCTGTCACCTAAATCCAAAGATGACTCTGTCGAAAATGAAGCATAGCGGTAGTTCTGGCAGGTCATGACGTCAAGCGCTGATCCACAGCCAATGAAAGGTAGCCACCTCAACCAGCTGATGGCCCAGCTGATTTTCTCTTAGCTCCTATTGCTCCTATGTCTTTAGAGCGCCCTATTTAAAACTGCCTTAACCCAGCCTCTTCCCCGCTTCGACAGTCAACCAGCAAGCTGCTGCAACTGCTCTGCACGTTCCCACTTTCAAGAACACTCAGATATGCGTTTTTGCCTTTTCCTACCTTGCTCTTCATCATGTCGATCGCTGCCCATGACGAGGATCCATGACAGAATGAATGCTTTTCTGAAACACAACATCAACAATGCGGATTAAGAAAGCCAGTCCTTGCAATGACAGCTGCATTTCCCTTCAGCAGGAGCTCAAGTTTGGCAAGTAAAACTTCTGTTTCTCCCAGCTTCAATGAACGGCCGAAGTCCAGGCTCCTGGAAGTTGTTTAAAAATAACATCACAGCTCCAGATGATGTCTCACATCAAGAGCTTTCACCTTGTTTATGGAAAATATCCACATAGATCCTCCACTTGCAGTTCTCTCTGCCTCTTCTGTATCCAGAAAAGCGACTGAGAAAAGAAAACACTGTTCCCGCAGTGTCTCGGCAGTTCAGCTTCAGACGCCGCGTCAGAGCCGCCGCCCGCAGAGCGCGAGGCCCAACCCCAGCTATCAGACCCGTGGATCTGGACGACAATCCCATCCTGAAAGCACTGTCCAGCATCCAGCTTATTCATATGTCTTCAAGTACGAAGCCTCAGAATCCGGTTCGGCACATGCTAGGCTGTCTTTCTCCATCCCAGCTGTCACACCTGCATTCACCGCGCTGAACGATTAGTCACTCCAACGTAGACAACCAACGATGGTGTCACCATCTTGCGAAGGACCCTGGGAAGTGCAGTCCCCGTCTCCACCAGCGTCCCATTCTTCCTTCCCACTGCTGCAATTACACCTAATCTGCGGAGCCAAATCCTTGCAGGTACTGACATCAATCTTGTACAAATCTCGCTGTGCTCTGACTACAATGATAGACGCATTGTGGATTGAGGAGATGTGTCTGTGATGCATAAAGATGGTGATCCCTGGCTGTTTAAATCTCCGACCTTAGCTGAATTTATAGCTTTTCATAGCTTTTCATAGCGTATTTAGAGATGTCATATGTGAAGTGTTTTTTTAGCATGCAGAACTGGACACATATCTTGCCATTATTTCTGATTCAGCCATGACTTTTGGAGGAACATTATTCTAGTAACATCACAAATCATTTTCAGCAAAGCTGCTAAGTACATTCAAAGATTCAACCAGAGGCTTGATCAGTCCGTAGTCGACCTGGCTCTAATCAGTAGACATTTCACTGAGCATCAAGCTTGTTCCTGCTCAATCTTTCTCTCACACCCAGAGGGGAAAGTAAGCTGGTATGCAGTGGTACGCCGTTCCGGGAAAACATAATCAGCAGTTTAAAGTTTTCACCCCTGCCATGTATTTAGGCTTAGTGTGTTGCCGCACATCAGTCTGCACTATGCGTTATAACCACAGTAATCTAATAGGACCATGCTGCTTGAGAGTGAGTGGTATTTGCTTCCAAATAAACTCCAAAAGTGGGAGCGCTCAGTGCGCACTTTTGATTGGACACCGGTTGCATAGGCGCAGGGGCCCGCCTCCCGCCTTTTGGGGAAGGAGAGAACTTTTAAAGAGTCAGCTGCTTCAATCTTAATGCAGAAATAAGACAAAATGCAGACAAAATTTGATTTTATTGTGGCGACACGAGATATATTTTACCAGTTTGGATACCAACCGAACTTTGTTTGTCCAACAACGCCACCTTGGGAGAGGGCCCAAGGACCCGTATCTAAAGGTCAATTACCACCTAGTTATCTAAGGCACTCAGGTTCGTTCAACCAGGGAGGCAGGAGACGAGAATCAATAACATACAAAATTTATAAATAAAAGGTCGACATAATTAATAAGATGCAAATATGATAACGGAGCCCAACTGAAACGGGGATACAGGCTGAGGCGTACGGGCTAGAGGAGGGTGTGATATATTGTGCTACATTGTGATATATTATAGTGGATGTGCCTCGTGGGCACCCATAGCAGTTGCACTTAACGGCACGGTGGCAAAGCTAAGGGTCTCTATCATATGGTCATGTGCCGGTCTGTATGTTGGTGGCTCTGCTGAATGCTACATAAAAAGAACTGAGTTTTAAGAAGTCGTCAAGCCTCGTCAATATCCTACATGGTGTCAGAAGAAGTTCGGGTGAAGTGAATCGGTATGGCGCAGTTTCAACCCCCGCCGAACCTGAGTTTGCAAGGCAATCTTGCTGAGAACTGGAAGTGTTGGAGTCAGCGCTTTGAACTGTTCAGCGTCGCTAGTGGAGTCTCGGAAAAGTCCGAAAAAGTACAGTGTGCAACTTTTCTTCACGTCGCGGGAGAGGAGGCGATTAAGGTGTGCAACACATTCGTCTTCGCCGACGCGGAGAAGGACAAGATAGCTGTGCTGAAGAGGAAATTTAAGGAGTACTGTGAGCCGCGGAAGAACTTAACGTACATACGGCACGTATTCTTTACCCGAGCACAGAAGCAGTCGGAGCCCATTGATTCATATGTGACGGATCTAAAGAGCAAGGCGAAGGACTGCGAGTTTGGAGATCTGCACGATTCCCTGGTACGTGACCGCATTGTGTGTGGAATAACCAACGACCAAGTGAGAGGCAGACTGTTGAGAGAGGCTGATTTGACACTGGAAAAGGCCGTTGATATTTGCAGGGCGAGCGAGCTAACAAATACTCAAGTCAAAGCACTGACAGAAGAGGTCGAAATGAACGCTGTTAAAACTGTCAAAAAGAAAGACTTCAGAGTGAAAGCAAATGCAGAACAGCAGACCGAGGCGAGCTGCAATAGATGTGGCTTTAAACATGGAGCTAATGCATGTCCTGCACTTGGCCAAATATGCAAAAAGTGTCAAAAGAAAAATCACTTTGCTAAAATGTGCAGATCAAAGAGTCAGTCAGGCTCATGGAAGAAGCAGCAGCAGTACAGAAGGAGAATGCATGCTGTAGTGCAGAGTGAAGAAGAGGATGACATGTTCATTGGCACACTTAGAGTGGAGCAAGACAAATACATCAGTATAATGGAGTCTGCTGAGACCGAAACTGAGAAAGAAAAATGGACAGAAAGCCTGAGAATTAATAACAATGTGGTGACCTTTAAGTTGGACACTGGTGCAGACTGTAATGCAATGTCAATTAAAACATTCAATGCACTGGAGGTCAGAGGCAGGCTTAATGCCAGCAAGAGCAAGCTGGTTGCTTTCTTTGGGCAGAAAATAGCACCATTGGGCAAGAGAGCTTTAACCTGTGAACATAAAGGACAAAAGCACCGCATTGAGTTTGAGATTACACAGGAAGATGTACCAGCTATACTGGGCGGAGACACTTGTGTGAAACTAGGCTTGTTGAAGAGGATGCATGAAATCTTAAAGGAAGATGACATTCTCAAAGACTATGAGGACCTGTTCGATGGACTGGGCTGCATACCGGGTCAGCACCATATCCAGATTGACCACACTGTCACCCCTGTTGTGCACGCACCAAGGAGGGTTCCCGTGGCGATCAGAGACAGAGTGGTGGAGGAACTACACCGCATGGTAAAAATGGGAGTCATAACAAGGCAGACGGAGCCCACAGACTGGGTCAATAGTATGGTCACTGTTGTGACACCTAAGAAAATCCGAATCTGTATGGACCCAAAGGACTTGAATGAAGCTATTAAACGGGAGCACTACCCATTGCTGACAGTGGA